AAATATTTTTTAGTCATGCTCCAGCACTTTCTGTTGGTGTTGTTTAGGTTGTGCATTGCATAATCGAAAAACAGATGAAGTCTATGATTATTTATTAACATATTTAAAACAAAACTGTTCAAAGATTGAAGAAAAATGCTTATATGTAATTGATTCAGAATCGAATTCTCTCACTCAAGAATATTTATCGCAATATTTAAAGAATTTAAAACTTATTCATACATGGAATTATGTATTTACAAATTTAAGATCATGGTTATTGAATAACGGTCGAACACAAGCCGATTATCAGTTTTATAATGCTGAATTGAAATCATTGTTGATTTGTAATGATACACAAGCATTCTATCGTCTATATGAACGATGTAAAACAAATTGGACACAAGAATTTAAACAATACTTTGAAAAAATTATCTTGCCGTTAATTGAAACAGATTTGGGTTCATGGATATTAAAAAAATACGACATTTATGATCCATATTGCGGAATTCGAACTATGTCTTGTGATGCTATGAATATTGTTGTGAGTAGAAAGATTTTCATGGGATATGATACTTTACCGCAGAGATGCAACCGGTCTAAAACTAAGAGGTCGGACCGACCCGATCGGATCGGTCCAAAAATCTGTTTAGATTTCCCAGACCGGTGAAAACTCCCGGTCCCCGACTACTTAAGAACTTTTATCAGTAAAACTAAATATCTTTAAGGAAAAAGTGGTCTTCACTAGGTTTTTCTCATTTCTCTTAGTTATTTTATCAAGTTTCTTGTGAATGAAGACGAGACAAATGATAAAAATTCTAAAAAGGGCAAAAAACCGGTCGACACCGGCCGCTTTGAGAGTTTTTCTAGACTGGCGGGGAACGGTCGATCTGCCGGCTCGGTTTCAACTCTGCTTTACCGTTCGTATATAAGAAAATTTTCTGTACGCCAATGATGAGACAAAGTCTCGTTCGTATGAACAACATTTTGATTCCAAAACTTCTAGTACTGAGACGTACAAAAATTTACAGATGAGTTATCGATGTTATTTTAAGTGTAGTCTGATACTTTGTGCAAGTCACTATAACAGAGATATTATGGTCCTATACCATATTGCATCGATTTTTTACTTATCATCTATCCCAGTGTATGTTGCGCACTATATGCATTTGTTATTTCGCTGTTTTAGGTAACACATTTACGTGATTGGCGCGATACTCGATTTGATACTGGTGCAATTTCATTGTATTGGTTACAAATTTATTTTGTTAATCAAATACACAAAAGTTTTTGTCGTAATGGTCTGTTTAATTTGAAACAAACGTATGAAAAATATGCACAACCCATTCATAGTGCCGAAGACGCAATAGCACAAGCAAAAATAATTACACCGGATAAAATTGTTGAACATGTTCGTGGAAAATTTATTGCGGCACCGAGCGCATCGTCAACAGCAACACTGATACCAAAACATAATCAACAGCACACACATTTTTTGAAACGTACATTGGATAATGCGCAAATACTAACATTGGCTGCACCACCGCAAACAAAACATTTTAAAACTACGTTTGGAGATCAAACAACGCCGTGTTTAATAACAGGTAAGAATGCGAGTTTTCATTGTGTCAATTACAATATTTTATTCTTTCTATCTTCACTGAAATTTTTATTTCATATTATAATTATTTCTTTCTTATTTTTAGGTATTCCAACGACTGAATTTAAACCGTTAATAAGTGGTAATCGTACAATGACCGTTCGTCGTATTCAAACTGCCCAACCAACAACACAATATCGTATTTCTACAGCAGTCACGACAAATCAACAGCAATCTCAACCTCAGCAATACCATTTAATAACAACACCTCAACAAGATGGTATCAATGATCATTCAATTCTTTATAATACAACCGATGGAAGTAGTGATAATTCATCGTTAGATTTAAGTCAAATATTAAATACATCAACAATAACTCAACCACAAACAATAACAATTGCAAATAGTTCATTTTTAAGACCTATTTGTAGTTCAAATGTTTTAAGACTAACTGTACTAAGAAAATAAGTGTGTATGCTGTGTTTTGTTTTATTTTGAATGTGTCTGGTTTTTTGAGCATATATGTATGTGTATATTTTTATGTATAGAAAGATATTCTGTATAGATAAACTAACTTTTGTTTTTTAGAGAAAATATATTATAAAAAAACGAAACAAAAACTGTGGTAGTTATATGTACAAATAGGAACAATGGAGAATAGATACAATTTGAGTATGATATGAGAAATAGATAGCTGTTGAAAACCACATGGATTTGTGAGGTCAATTTTTGGTGTGATTGCGTAATTCTTTAAAAGTAATCAACCATTTTTGTGGTATTTAGCATTTAAAAAGCAATGCATATAGAATACTCACAAAAAAATATTCGAAAAACAAAACAATTTGATTATTTTACAATGGAATGAACTTTAAATTGTGGTTGTATTTCATCGTTGACACAGCCAATTTTTTTTTCAAAAATTGTTGAATTACTCACTCACACATTAATTCTTGTCGAAAAGAGTACTGTTTGCAAGGTGATGTAGCAGAAAGAAAAAAGAACAAAAAAAAGGGGAACAATAAAAAGAAATCTGTTTAAAAAAGGTCAGAATTGTTTACAAAAGCACTTATAGATTATATTGTAATAGAATATGCACCGTCGTTTGCGAGAGAAATATAACGTGTGAAAACGTTTGATTTTTCAGAAGATCGATGAATGATCATACGTGTCTTATGCCATATGCTTTGATGAAGTAAACATGTTCTTTGTTTTCTTTTAGATATTAAATAATCTTTTTTATTCTGTATACTAAACAAAAAAAATGTTAGCAAAGTTATCATCAAAAACTTTAATTATTCGATTAAATTCTATTCGATTATTTACAACCACTTCTTCACTTTTAACAAAGGATCAAGCAAAAGGACATGATATTAATAAAACAATTGAAGACCAAAAACGAGGAAAACATGAATCACCACATAAAGCAGCTCCTCAATGGAGTGAAAAGTTAGCCAGTTCGAGTGGTAAGTAGCTTTACTTGATATGTGACAAGAAAAACATTTGATCATCAATTTTCGTACGTTTCCTTAACTGTTACGATTTCTTGAGAACATTTTCCAAAATAAGTCTTCTTCCATCCGTTTTGGAGTCATATCTTGAGACGATATGTTGGTGATGTTATGTTGTTCGACACACACTTCAAAGATGCTGTATTCGAACCTTTGCGTCGACAAGTTATTCATGTCTCTGATCATCCATCCAATAATATAGTAACTATGTTGTCATCTATAATATATTGAAACGGACACTTGCCAGCGTCCTACACCGGTAACGGTAGCCGTGTGGTGGTATTTTTTTCTTTAATATTTTTACTATAAGTATTATGTATATTTTTTTCTTCTTTATTTCTAGAAGAGATCGTTAAAGCTGAAAAACTTGGTGCCAAGAAACCAACTGAACAATTACAGAAAGAAACCATCAGTCATATTCAAAAAAAGGATAAAAATGAAAGTGAATCTGCTCGTCGAAAGAAATGAACAGTTTAAACTTTTTACATTATATTTTTCTCATGTCTAGTCCAAATAATATTCCTGATAAATGAACTACTCAAACAAACCCATAGTGATTATTTTTATCATCAAACAATTTGATTAACTTTATTTTGTTTTTCTCCTTTACCGTGTAGTGTGATAACTACTGTATATAGAACTAATCCGTTCATTTTTGTTTGACAGTACATCGAACAAAAATAAATTCATAAATTAATGCGCTTTTTTTTTCTTATTATTACGAAATATTATAGAAGAAAAAACGAGAATTTAATCATGCAATAAAATGAAATTCATAGACTGAAAAATAGAACGGAAGAAATCTGTGGATTATGTGAAAGTATAAGTATGTGTATCAGTATGGACAACTCGACTTGATAATATAATTTTAATTTAATTTTACAATCGCTTTTTCAGTTACTAGAGACTCAAACAGATATTGTGCTCCATTCTCATCGTGTGGAAGTTATCATTCGTTGCTCAATAAAAACAAGGAACAACCTCACACGATGTTAACGGAGTTGTGTTGCTTGTCGTGCCTTAACTCTGTCTTTCCCGAAGAAAACCACATGACGAGGCCCTTGAGAAAGGTCAAAACCGGTCGTGGTATCTTCTTTTGATTCTACCAGAAATGAGTTACCAGAAATGAGTCTCTAATAACTGAAAAAGCGGTTGTAGAATTAAATTAAAATTATAAGTATGTGTGTGAGTACGCTCTCGGCCTGATGTAAAGAGTTCAAGAGGATCTAGAGAGGGCTACCGACTCAGTACGAGGAGCATACTCAGATCAGTGTAGGCATTACACGGTTGCCCGGCTGAGGTATACGAACATTTATCGTAAATCCAACAACTGTCACCGCTTCTCTCCGTCGTACCAACGCCGCAACCCCGATCTTGCTTAGAAATACCAAGGCTTCCACTCTAATCCATCCAGGATGATCCTCTCTAAGCTCTTGTTGAATACGGGTATGACACTCCCTCATTATCCCTAGGATTGGTCACGATCAGGCGACATCATTATTTTCCTTTTTCACCTTATCAGAAGGCATCCAGAAATTAACTCACTTCCTCTTGCATCCATCTTCAATCTCATCCCTTTTCCTAATGGCGATCATCCACCGAAACATTTCGTTTCTTCTGTTGCGGAAAATAAGAGTCTTTATCTGTTATTAGTAAGTTGAACATAAAAAAGCACACACTTAAAATAACCGTTTAACACAAAAGAGATTACGTATGAAGCAGAAATAAAGAAATCATTAATTATATTCATGGAAAAGAGAAAGCATTATGTCAATACATCACAGCTATTTGCGTGAAGAATAAACACGACAAAAACAGCCAGCTTGCATAATTATATGAATATTCAATCTCCATCAAACTTATAATGGAAAAGAGAACGTTGATGGAATAGATCCATGTGTGATATCTTATGTTTATAAATTTGTTTTTGGATTATAGATAACTGTTTCAAAGGATTCATTATCGTTTATTGTATCACTAACTGAAGGTGCCTCTGATGGAAATTGGCGCTGGAGTATAGTTAAAACAGTTGACATGTCTTGACTTAACTTTGTTTCTAGTAAATCAAGTCGTCTAAAATAAAGATGTAATCAAGAAAATCTTTGTAAAGCACTACGATGTTTAGTTTTTACTTTGAAAGGTCTTGAATTTGATATTCAACATTGTTATTGTAGGAATCGTATATTTGTGCATTTGTACCATCGTGGTGAATTTTATAGGGATCGATTATCTGCATATCATCAAGCTGATGTTCATTGGAAACATAGGTCGTCTATAATACACGAGTAATTACTAAACCAATTAATTTTCTGTATATTATGTATGCTAACTAACTTACTAATGGGATAGATTCCTCATTTGAGTTCTCAATTTGAAAGTGTACATTTGGAATAACAGTTTGTTCTGAACAAAAAAAAAGGAAGTTAATACAATATAACACGATAGATATATTTTACCTTGTGAATCCTTGTTAGTAAACACTGAACTTGTACCAAGTGATTTACTACGTTTGTCTTTATGTGAATCACAAATCAGATTTTTCGATATTTCATCTTGATTAGTTAATGTTGGATTGAATTCTGAAGTACCTGCAACATACAAGAAAATTTTTCTTAAGCTAGTTACATCGTTCTTTCGTGTCAGAGAAACGCGCTATACAGTTTTGTATAATTCGGTGTTTAATTTTATACTGTTTTTCTGTTCTACATATGTCTATTTTGAAGTTACATTTTACAAAAGGAACTAGGTTGAGTTTTTAATATCGACCAGCGAGAGAAGATCCCCAAGTGTTACTCTCACTTTTCAATGGGACATATCCTAATTTTTAGAGCTCGACGAGCTGAGTACGATGGCATAAAGCATTTTCTCCTATGGCTCTTGAAGACCCTGTTTTCTGGAAAAACAGTTTTGTCAAGACTCTGAAAAATCACCAAAACCTTTTTTAATGAGGCATAATTGTAGCGCGCACATTTCTGATTAAAATGAGACATCTCCCAGCTCTGTAACACCTTTCTATACAAAGTTAAAGAATTTACAAAGTAAACCCTAAATTAATTTCTTCTTATTTCTCTGGCTTTCAGTTCAAATGAAAAACTGGTTTTCCCGAACGAAAACAGGGACTTCGAGAGCCATGAGGAAAAATGCTTAATGCTATCGTGATCAGCTCGTCCAGCTCTACAAATTAGAATTTGTCCCACTGAAAAGTAAGAGTAACACTTGGGGACCTTTCCTCATAAATGATGAGATTGTAACTAGATCGATTATTCTTGAAATAGCAACTACAGAATAGAAGTTAGTTTAAACTTTATTCATTCAAGAAATAAGAATAGTCATTCTGCGGCCTAGGCCATTATATCAGAGGAAAATGACAGGATAAATAATATAAGCTATTTACGGATTAAAAGCATGAAAACTAAGAGGCAAAGAAAGGAAAAGTATGTAAGGAAGAAGACAACAATAAAATGATGCACGCTAAAACTTACAGTATTGCACAGACGTTAAGTAAAAGCGTAAAAACAGTGTAGAGACCATCACAGGACACGGGTGCCCTGTTGTCCGACCGCTCCGTCGGGCAGGCGATATATTTTTTTTGCCTCACCCTGTTGCAGGGCAGGGCAACAAAAATTCCTTGATTTGTCCTGCGAGAGATTGATTTTTGAGATTTTCAAGCTTCTTTCTAAGTAAAATTTTGTGATCTCTCGTCTATGTGAAAATAAAAATGACAGTCAACTTTTCTAAAATTGATAATTAATAATAAAAACAAAACGTTCTCTTATGCACGAGAAACACATTCAGTATTTGGGGTGAGTTTTTTGAAGATGAAGTCTTCTAGGTTAAGGAGAAAAACTTTCTTTTGCACTGCAGGGCGCCCCGCCCAGTCAGACAGGGCAGGGCCAAACAAATTTTATGAATAATTTTCATACAGGGAAGGACGAAAGAAGTTGTCCTGCGATGGTCTCTGGAGTATAATAAATGGGTCGTCCGAAAAAGGTGTTGCCATAAAGTGAGTTTTTTTCTTGTATATTTTTTGTTTAATTGGTTTGGTGATTAGTTTTTTCTATATATATATATTCTTCTTGTATGCTGTCCACTAATTAATCTGACATTAAATTGATATATATTCTTCTTGTATGTATATTTCCTTTAATTCAAATTATCGTTAATATATTTGGTGATCAAAGGTCTTATTTTTTGGTGATCATTTCGCAATTAATAAATTTGATGATCAAAACACATTTGTCCCATTACAAATTGAGATAGTTAGTTTAATATTTAAAACGTTTGGTAGTAATTGTGTATTCCATCACTGATCTACTATAAGTATATATATATATATATATATATATATATACTTGTATTGCTTTTCCCAGACACGGATTTAGCTCAGTAAAACGGTGTATAGTTTGTACGAAACCTTAAAGAGGTATATAGATGGTGACAAAAGTTTAAACCTTTTTTAGGTTCGGTAGAGTAACTTTGTTTTTTAGAGAGTAAGGGTGCTTCTCAAGAGGTACTTTAAGAGAGAGAAGAGCTAAACTGAGAGGATTGCCGTGCAGTAAAAATGGTAAATTATTATATAAATGCTTTCTAAAGAAAGTATAACGGGGATGATGAAGTAAATAATGTTGTCGTGTTTCTATTTCGCCACGTTGGCAACGATTAGTATCAGATAAATGCTTTAGATAAAGATCAGCATTTAACTACGAAAATTCAGATCTTATTTATCTACAGAGGTTATTGGAAAGAAAAGACTTTTTATTGGAAAAAAGAAACTTTTACGTTTTCTAAATCTTCTCTACAACTACAGTATCAAAAGATCAAGATGTACGTAAAAAACATTAAGCTAAAATGTAAAAATTGATTATTGATTCTTAGATTTTTTTCTTCGTCCGTTTTATAAAGAAAGTAGAATGAACTATTAGTCATAAAGATAAAAGGTGAAGGTTAAATGGTATATACTATTTTTGTACAATAAATGTCTATATCTAAATCATATTGAACATTTAACATTTTTCAGATGGAGATGAACGAGCAGAAATCAGAATATGCATCAAACAAACTGTTGTTCAAAATTATCGATGAACACATTGGTTACATCACTCTTAATCAGCCAGCTAAACGTAATGCAATGACTATTGAGATGTGGAAAGGTTTGGGTCAAATATTCGACGATTATGAACAAAATGACTCTATAAGAGTTTTCATAATAACAGGTGAGGGTGATAAAGCATTTTGTTCGGGAGCTGATTTAAGTGAACCACATAATAGAGAAAATGATCATTTAATACGTCAATTACGAGAAAAAATGGGAAAATTTCCCAAACCAATTATAGCATGCATTCGAGGCTTTTGTATTGGTGGTGGTGTTGCTCTTGCAATGTCATCAGATCTACGAATAGCAGCTGATGATTCACAATTTTCCATTCCGGCAACAAATTTAGGATTACCATTAAATTATGATATTATTGAAAATTTATTCAAATTAATTGGTGCAAGTCATACAAAAATGTTACTTTATACAAGTGAGAGAATCAATGCTAGTGAAGCTGAACGAATTGGTTTAGTTAATCGAGTAGTACCAACGGATAAACTTTATGAAAATGTTCTTAAATTAGCAAAAACACTTGTTAAAAATGCACCATTATCAATTTATGCTGCAAAATGTGCTATTAATCAATTACATTCTGGTTCATCAAATAATGAACAAGTACTTGTAGCTATTGAAAAATGTTTGAATAGTGAAGATTATCAAGAAGGGCGAAAAGCGTTCATTGAAAAACGTTCACCAAATTTTCAAGGACGATAAATATTTATCTCTATTCATTTAGATTTCTTTTTTTTATATACATGTGATTTTTGTAATAATAGTTTTTATTGTTCAAAACAAATTCTATTAGATTATTATTTCGATATAGTACATATCAAGATTATAAAAATATTTTTTGTAAGTGTAAATGATTAATAAAAATAAATACTAGACATTGTATAACTTTTTCGGTCATGGAGTAAAAAATTTAGAGCTGATAAGATCATACGAATTTATGTATACATTGTCATTTGTTATTAATATGTTATTATTCTCATATTCATTATCTTAAATTTGTCTCTCTAATCTAGACTCTAGAACTGATAGAATTTGATATGCTATTTTTACATTTATTCTAATAATAGAACATTTTGGCATAGTGTCGATAATGTAATAGTAAAAAAAATAATGAGTAATTCTGTTATTGAGTACTGTCTTCAATTACGTGATAGAAAATATTGCGTAGATATGTTTCCATTATCTGACCTCTCTTTTTTTCCTTTATCGTTAAACCATGACAACAATAACAAACAAAAAAAAAGAGACGAAAAACATTAATAATCGCTTTTATTCTCTATTCTGTTAAGATATCATATAAATATTTTTAAGAGAAACTTCACACATGTTGTGCAGTGTGATTAAATTTTCAAGAAAAACAAAACAAAAAATGATTACTACAACAAAAGAACAAAGTGATTTCTATATGACATTTGAAATATGAAGAACAAAAAAAATGCAAAAATACTATTTTTTCTCTCTCTTCAGTACCAATTATTGTATAATGACCTTAAAAATTTTCAAAATTCTTTCTATAGTCTGATTAAAAGTATGAAAAATAAAATATGTACTAAAGGTGAAAAGAGAAACGAAATTTCATTTATATATTCAGACGTAATTGACAGAAGTCATGAAGTTCGTCTAACTTTGATTAAAAAAATATTTACGATGAAATTTATTGAATACATATACATTATTTAAACATTAATAGGACCGATGTTAAAAGAAAATACAAAATATTAAATAACAAATTATAAAACTTTTAGAGACAACTATACAAGTATCAATGATATTTCAATTTCTCAATTTTCATTCTTCTATTCGATCAATAATTGAAATTTGAAACATGACATAGTATTTTTTCTTGATAAATATGCTACTGTTTAAGAATAAATTCAATAAAATTAATTAGAAAGAACTTAGTTTACTCAAATTTTGATATATTTCAATCATTGATTAGTCTCTATCTTATATTTCTAAACTATTTTTTTTTATAAAGAAAATAATATCAATAATTTAATTAGAAATGTTGAGCCTGTCCAATTGTTGACGCCTGTCGATCTTGTATTCATAATGTTAAAAAAATAAGAAGCAAATGGAAAAATGCAAAAAAAGTATGGTGCCAGTTTAAAAAATAATTGTCGTATACTTCGGTTTTTTTTTTCTTCTTTTTTTCTTGTTCATCTCGGTTATAAATTTTATACGCAATAGAACGAAGTTTACAAATATTTTTCTTTCTACACATTTCTTTGACGATGTCATACTGTAAGGTAAAAAGAAAATCTCGTGATAAAAGACGCAGTTATAATTCATATATTACATAATAAATATTTGATTTATATGTCTTCTAAAATATAATAATTTGTTTTTCTTCTTCAACGATGATATAATACATAAAACAACAAGTACATAAAATGTATGAATATAAATGACTACTGAATTTAAACATTTATTTGTTCTATAAATAATTTTTACAGAAAAAAACAAAAAAATTTAATAACATGTTGAACTTAACATGAAATGAATCGTACTGATGAATATCTGATTATTTTAATTAATTTTTCAAATATTCTAAATTGTTTGATAAACTAAGGAATATAAATTAAGAAAATATAGCAATAATAGACAAGACATCATTTCAGTGTTAGTAAATGGAATATTTGTTTATGTATATCTACTATGAACTCTTATTTGCTTACACGTACATCATTTTCTATTGACTTACATAATTTTAATTGATGTTTATAAAAAATTTTCTGAATGAAATCTAAATTTGTAGACGTGTATTATTGATATTAGTACAACATACAATCTGAGTTATCTTTATTCTTACAAATATTTTTAACTAAAAAAAGGAAGGTATGTCTCGTTGTTTTTCATTGTTTTTTTGTGTGTTCTTTGGATTTCAGCCAAAAAAAAGAAAAGAAAGGAAACAGTCAGTGCAAAAGAAAAACGATTGTAAATAACCGGATTATATGGCTTTTACATGAAAAAATTATATGCTGTCAGCAGTAATATTAATATGTATTGAGTCAAAGATGAGCTGGTTATGCCTAGACTACAATGAGAAAACAATCATCGAAAGTATGTGAAGGGATGCGTAGTAGAAAGAAAAATAGCAATAAATTCCACAGAAACTAAAAAGTAAACAGAAAATAGTAATCTTCGAGTAGAAGAAGGAAAAAAAATGACGTTTCTTCTCGATTCATCACAATGGATGAAAAGCGTGATGTCAATGATGTCGATGATAAATACAATCTTCTTTTATATAGAACAAACCAGAGTCAAAACGTTTCAGTAACTATAAATTGAATGTTGAAGAAATATAGTGTCTTACATTGAATTAATTATAGAAAGGTATAGTGCCATGTTTCTATACACACTGTAATGTCATACCAATATCAGAGGCAGGTTGAGTGTTAAAATAAGTATACGATTTGGAACTTTTATATTTTTTACACAAGAAGAAAGTCTTATAGAGAGTACAGAATCTATAGATTATTTTCAATTTAACCATTGTTATGTATTATAGTCATATACTTTTTCAGAAACGAAGCACTGCAATATCTAATAAACTCTTTCTATCATTTAGAATAGTTTGAGAATTGAATATTATCTGTTTCTAGAATAGAACACCAATATAGAGATAGTGTGCTCAGCTTCACTTCTGCCTGTTATATTGTTTAATCATTAGATATAGAAAAAGAAAATATTTTTGGCGGAAAGAAGGAATGTTCTATTTATTCAATTTTCCTTCTATCACTCTCTCTAAAGACTAGTTTACTACAGTCTATACTCATGGCACCACATTTTTTTTCGTATTTTTGTACAACGTATTCTACTTTTTGAGACTACTTTTCTTCATTGTTTTTTCTCTTCTCTGAATCAATTATTTTCGTATTTTTACACGTCAACAAACTGCTGATTGTCTGCAGTTGCCCGGAAAAAGCAAAGAGTATGAGTTATCAGCTAAGAATGAATCGAAGCTTCTCAAAAGAGATACAAATTCGTTCTAATTGGCTTTGTAAGATTAAACAACATGGGAGGGAAATAAAAAAAATGAGTATGAGTTTGCAAAAAAAGTATCTCTTTTGAGACGTAACCGAATGAATAGGTAAGTCATGATGTTTGATAATATAAGTTATCGACAACAAAATTAAAGCACTGCTTGTTATTTTATAGTATATGATGCTAAGATCGATTAGAGCGATCTAGAATTTATATATTTTATGTAATGGTGAGTAACTGTTTAATTCATCGTACAGACACAAATTCGTATACGAAAATGATGAAAAATTCTTTCTAAAGGCAATAAACGTTTTTCGTCATGAAACGGCTTTTTAAGATCTCAAGAAAACTCAAAGTAGAATTTAATGGTTTATTAAAGATGATTTCAATACTAACGACTTATATTAATATTATTTCATTCTAGATAACTATATTCTCACTACTTTTACAAAACAAATCTACTCGTAATTTTAATAGTTAAAAAGTTTTTATCTAATTATGGATCCCACTCGGCCAGCAACTGCATCAGATGTTCATTTACATACAGATCCTAACTCAAAAGCTACAGTCACAACAACATCTGCCGCAACGACAACCGCAGAAACACATCAACATCATACTGGATCCCCAGCAACAACAGATGGTAAGAATTTTTCTTTGTCCTTTTATCAATCTGCGCCAAATGTTAATCATGACAATAAAATTAGTCCTTCTATGTTTAAATTTATAAAATACACTAGTAACATTTTATCAAAGCTGAAAGTTACTTCTATTCATCATCCTTAAAATATTGCTACGAGCAGTAAATAATGAATATTTAACGACTCTCACAGCAATTAGCAAATAATTTCAAGTTAGAAAGCGGTATTTTACTCAAAAGAGTTTTTAGCAAAAATTATATCGTTTGTTTTGTTGGTTTTTTAAGTAGAAAAAGATATTCAAGGAAAGAAAGATGAAGTATCGAATAAAGCACAAGATTTGGCCAGTCAAGGAAAAGAAAAAGTGGACTCTGCTGTTGAAAAAGGAAAACAAATTGGATCACAAGTCGCTGATAATGCATCAAAATTGAAAGATCAAGCTCATCAGAAAGTGGAGGAAGTTAAAGAACAAGCTGGACCCACAATAGATGCTGCCGTTGAACAAGCGAAAAACACAGGCGCTCGTTAGTTATTGCTTCATTAATTATTTTTTGTGCCGTCAAATAGAAATAGAACGTGACTACTGACGCCTTTTTTCATCAAACTTTCGTATATTCGTAATTTTGCTTATACCTGGATGTTTTAGAGGTAACTGATGCCGCAGCTGAAAAAGCAAATCAGGTGAAAGACGCCGTACAAGACAAGGCAGCACAAGTTAAAGAAGAAGTGTAGGTGATTTATTTATTAAATGATCATTTTTCTCCATCGAGATTAGCTGACGTGTTGTTAGTAACAACTTATTAAAAGTTACGACTATTAATTGCTTCGATTTCATTTAGACAACCGAAAGTCGATTCTGCTGTTGAACAAGCGAAAAAATCTGGATCGGAGGTGGCTGATGCGACTGCCCAAAAGGCTGCTGAACTAAGGAACGTCGCAGAAGAGAAAGCTGGAGAGGTTGCTGATGGTAATTATTCATTCATTTCTCATGAGGTTCGGTGCGTTAACATTTCACAATGTTTTTGCAAATTTTAGCGGCTAGTGAAAAAACCGAACAAACTAAAAACGTAAGTTATGTATTTATTATACGATAATTCTTGCAACGAAAAATAGCTAATGTGTTTCGATACTATTAACCACGTTCATTCGACGTTTTCACTGATTTCGACTATTTTAGGCAATTGTTGAAACAGCGATCAATGTGAAAGATGCCGTTTTGCATAAAGCAGAGGAAGCCACACACACTGTATGTATATAAATAATATACTTGCACCACGATATATTCTTTGGTGCTGAGCTTGATAGACAGATGAAGAAAAACTTTTTTTTCTCGCTCAAATACGTTTCTATCACATAAGTTATGAACATATCTGAACAAAGAAAGATGGTGAAAAAGGTTTTTTTCTTTATTCATTTTGAGTCTTTAAGTCTAGTCTCGAACTACTTTTAGACAAGAAGAGATTAAAGAAACCCAAACTTATTTGTTTGTCAGTTGCTAGTAATCATTTTCTGTTTAGGTCGTAGAAACCGTTCAAGCAGTACCAGGTGCCATAGCAGGTGCTGCAGCTACCGTTGGTGGTTATGTTGGCGAAAAAGTAGCCGAAATGGGTCATTGGGCAGCGGAGAAAGCTGACGCCACAATTCATACATTGAGTGTAATTCATCCGTTTATTCAATTATCTTTTTTTCTTCGGCAGAAGCAGCTTTAACCATCGTTTCTCATTCATTACTCTAGCCGCACGATTTCTACTATATTTGAATATTTTAGGAAGTTAAAGATGCAACAATTAAATCCGCACAGGACGCTATGCATTCAGGTACGTTACAGTAATGTCTTAGACTTAGACGAACTAATGATTCTCGATCATTAGTGTTTTTCAACGTAATTAATAACTCATACTATAATTCACTATTCTAGTTGTTGATTTCGCTACTGAAGCCAAAACAAAAGCAGACGAAACAGTAGAAGGTATGCATGGTATTATTATTATATATGAAATGTGAAACTCGACTTGATACAATTTTAATTTAGTTTAGTTTTACAATCATTACAATCAGTTAACTGATAAGCAGTTGTAAACCTAAATTAAATTAAACTTGTATCAAGTCGAGTTTCACATTTCATATATATTTATTCTTCAAACTGCACAAAACTCGCATATTTAATTCGGAGAATTGTGACTAATTTGTCTTTCTCCACTGTGAACGAGCGTTGACTAGTAAGAGGATAAGAGACCACTTCCCAAGGTCAGATCATAATTATGGTGTTTTTCACATTTGTCTCAACGTTTGTTGAGTGAAAGTAACTAGATACACTTTATGTTAAAGCATGAATCATTTCTGACAGAATGAAAAGAAATACTTAAAGAGAGCAGCAGAATATGTGAAGTGGTCAGTGATATTGTGCTCCATTCTTATCGTGTGGAAGTTATCATTCTTTGTTCGATGAGAACACGAAATAATAACACTCTCACACGTTGTAGACGGAGTTGTATTGCTTGTCGTGCCTTAACCGTGGTATCTTCTTTCGATTCTACCAGAAATGAGTTCTATTTGAGTCTCTAATAACTGAAAAAGCGGCTGTAAAGCTAAACTAAATTATTGTTATTATGGTTTTTAAGCACATAGTGTCAAATCTTTTTCCTTTTATGTGCAGAAATTAAAGAAAAAGGGTCAGAAGCTGTTAATCAAGCAAAACAGAAGGGTGAAGAACTAAAAAACGAAGCATCAGAAAAAGCTGAGGGTTAGTAGAATACTGTATGTTACTATGAGCTTTCACAACCTTACATGGGTCTTGATATCCTGTTCCAGATGTCAAACAGAAAGTTGGTGAAGGAGTTGATCAAGCCAAACAGAAAGGTCAAGAACTGAAAAAAGATGCACAAGAAAAGGGAGAAGAACTAAAAGACAAAGCATCAGAAAAAGCTGAGGGTTAGTAGAATACTGTATGTTACTATGAGCTTTCGCAACCTTACATGGGTCTTGATATCCTGTTCCAGATGTCAAACAGAAAGTTGGTGAAGGAGTTGATCAAGCCAAAGAGAAGGGTCACGAACTGAAAAAAGATGCACAAGAAAAGGGAGAAGAAGTAAAAAACAAAGCATCGGATAAAGCAGACGGTTCGTGAAGAATTTGGGTTATGTTATCTTGACTTTACACGGGTCTTGGTATTCTGTTTTAGATGTCAAACAGAAGGTTGGTGAAGGAGTTGATCAAGCTAAACAGAAAGGTCAAGAACTGAAAAAAGATGCACAAGAAAAGGGAGAAGAACTAAAAGACAAAGCATCAGAAAAAGCTGAGGGTTAGTAGAATACTGTATGTTACTGTAAGCTTTCGTAACCTTGCACGGGTCTTGGTATTCTGTTTTAGATGTCAAACAGAAAGTTGGTGAAGGAGTTGATCAAGCCAAAGAGAAGGGTCACGAACTGAAAAAAGATGCACAAGAAAAGGGAGAAGAAGTAAAAAACAAAGCATCGGATAAAGCAGACGGTTCGTGAAGAATTTAGGTTATGTTGTCTTAATTTTACACGGGTCTTGATGTCCTGTTCCAGATGTCAAACAGAAAGTTGGTGAAGGAGTTGATCAAGCCAAACAGAAGGGTCAAGAATTGAAAAAAGATGCACAAGAAAAAGGAGAAGAAGTAAAAAACAAAGCATGGGATAAAGCAGACGGTTCGTGAAGAATCTGGGTTATGTTATCTTGACTTTACACGGGTCTTGGTATTCTGTTTTAGATGTCAAACAGAAGGTTGGTGAAGGAGTTGATCAAGCCAAAGAGAAGGGTCACGAACTGAAAAAAGATGCACAAGAAAAGGGAGAAGAAGTGAAACACGACATTCATCAAAAAAGTCATCAACCTGATAATACATCACACTCAGCAGCATCGTCGTCTTCATCAACTAGTCAATCAGGTAACACAAATGTTACGTCTACAATTCCACCGCAAACGAGTACGACAGGCCATTTGGAAACAACAAAAGTCGAAGTACATAACCAAACAACAGGAAAGCCAGCACACTGACAATCAATGAATAGTAAAATGTGACATTTTCCTGTAATTATGGTCAATATTCTGCTAAATTACACGTCATATATATTCTTACTTGCTCGATTTCTTTTTTTGCTACTAAGTTTTTGTCTGTCTCTGTTCATTTTTATTATTTATAAACTCTATACATTAAAGCTTTCGTCATTGCTACTTTTTTTTTCTGTCTTGTGTGAGCCTATCATCAATACGTCAAATTGCACTCATCATTGTTTAAACTTGCGCAAAGATGTTTATATTTGTTTATTGTCGCTTGCTCAGCAACATATATAATCCGTTTGTAATTATGTAAAAAAAACAAATGCCAAATATTTTATTTTCACTTAAATAAATATTGTCGAAATTAGTCTATTACTGATTAACAAATAGTAGTTGATCTAAACAATATTGTTTAATAAGCAGTAAGTTTGATCGTAGGGTAATTATGTACTATTAATATGGTTTTCATTTTCATTTTCATAAGTAACGTATATTTTATTTCTTGTTAAGTTCTGCTTGTAGTTTATTCTATCTGATCGACATATTAGTATTATACATTTGTAATTGATCGAACAAAAAAACTGGCACATTGTGTGTTTTGATTAGTTTCTATCTTTTCGCTTTTTTGACGAAGTTAGTTAGAAATCAAACGTATAGCAAAATAGATACAATGTTAATCTAAAATAGTTTGTTTTCTTCGAGTACAATTCATACTGGGCTGTGCTACCTTCTCTAATGAACCAAAACTTTAGTGTTCAAACGATTATTCGACAGCAGTCCTCATTAAAAATGTCGAACATTAAGAGGATGACAAAAAATCTTTTTAACACCTATGATCGTTCACTGGTACTAGTTGCCATAGATTTTGTGTCAAAAGAAAAGCCAGTATAATATTTGCGTGGAACCGAGGCAATATAGACGTCATATCATATGAGAACGTTAGCTATTGCCGATACAAATCTAATTCTTACCTGCACTATTAATCGAATGACCATTGAGATGGTCAGTTTGTACGGTACATGAAATAGTATCATTATTCGTTCTAGCATTGGACGTATCTAAAATAATTATTATTTGTCAACAGTCCATAACTCTTTATGACACATACTCCGGCAATACAATGGATTAGATAAATATTTTGATCGATATTGAGCTGATTTTGAAACAAGTTCATTCTAAATAGCGAAAGACTGAACAGTGTCGTTATTGGTCTGAAAAGAATATCTTCCATACTCACATCTCGTAATGTTATCGTTATCTTTAGATTTCGACAAAAACTATCAGCAAACTCGGGATACATATCTATTACTTCCAACAGATCATCACGATGTATTTTATGTAAATCACAATAAGTAAGAGCACGAACACTGTAAGCTGATTTGCCTGGTACACGATATAAAAGCGAATTTTCACCGAGTATATCATCTTTTGATAAAATAGCTACAACATTATCATTTTTCAATATTTCAATTGAACCACGTGTGATAAAATATAACCATGTTAATATATCACCACGATGGATCAATATATCACCCGGTGGCGCATGTGTTGTCTTAAATTTCATTGAAAATGTTCTTAAACAACCTTCACTGGCATCTAGCAACGTAAAATGGGATAAAAAGTAAAATACGACAGAATGCATTTATACTTAATTACTTTTAAAGGCTGGACAATATTTGAGTAATTGACTGTTCAAATGCAAACAAATATCAGCTTGTAAACATTCAGGAAAACCTGAACGAAAGAAAGCAGGTGTATGAAGATTTACAGCAAGTATCAAAATGATTCGAGCAACTTTTATTTTTATTTTTTCATTAATTTCGATAGGTAAGAAAACTCAAGTCACACAATTCAACTACAAGATTTTTTTGCAAACAAAGCAACCGTACAGGATCAACATTTCTAAACAATGTTAGACGTCGCCGACCTCTCCACGACATCAATTCACAACTGAATTATGCGACTTGGCTTTCTATTGTTTGGGTTTTCCAGAAACTATCTACGCAGTAATGTTATTGGAATTTTCTTTCATATGTCATCTAGAAGAAAATTTTTTCAGCTATCTAAATCATTCACTGTTGAAAACCATTCTTAGCTACTGGGATTAAAGAAAAAAAATAGAAAACAAAGCTGCTTGGATCATTTTGTGCTCTTTGTATTTGTTCTACCTTTTAGAACCATATTCATATCAATTCCATTGGTATAATTCCAAGCATGATTAAAATAATCTTCTAGACGTTGTCGTAGTGGAGTTGGTATTTGATGGAAACGAATAAATTCTTTAACTCTGTACCAATAATTATAATTACTTATTGAAAATAATAGTAGTAAAATAATAATAAATTACCTTAGCATTTGTATTTGATATCTTGCTGTTCCACTGTAAAGTCGTTGAATAATTGCACTTACATTACCAAATATACTAGCATACATTAGAGCTAGAAAAAAAATCAGTTGAACATGGTAATAAAACTCTTAAAAACGATAACATAATAAAGCAGCAAGGACGGTTACACCCAAAAGGTCAGTAAAACTGGAAACAACATCACAGAACGCACGTAAAATATATGCATGCACAAGCTGAAGATATTTAAGCAAGAATAAAAATTCCCCCAACTGTACAAGTCCACACTTAACTACAGTTCTCTCTCTTTGAGACCTATTAACTAGATTATTCTGATATAAAACAAAATCATCGTAGTCTCAACTGACGAGGAAACATCCCGAGATGTCCACCTCCGATTTCAATGATTCATACATTGATCGGTAGAGTATGTCAAGGTAGTAAATACCTTAAAAGGATTTTTCCCCATGTTTTTTTCTTCAAAAGTTATAGTTTTTTTTTATTTTCGGGATCGCTCAAGCTCGGTAAAAAATTCAAAATAAAAAAAAAGTAAAATTCAGAATAACCCTGGAGTCTTCGAGAACTCAAAAGAAAGTTGTTTCTCCTTTGATCATGATATTTCTTCATAAAAACCATGTGACGCAGCACCATTTATCTAGTGCAGCGATTGCAGCAACCCATTATTTTGAACAATACCTTATTCATTAGTATTATTGTCTATTTTATTATTATTTTCTTCTTCTTACTCTAATTTTACACTTACGTTAGGTTCCCTCGTTAGCTTTCTTCTCTCGTTAAACTAGAAAAATGTTTTATTACGTTAAAAAATACTTTGTTTTATATTATTAAATTAACTAGTTAATAATCAAAAGGCTAACTAGGCAAAAAAACAAAAAACAAATAAAAAAATAATTTTTCTCATGTGGGGCGGCTTCTACGCGACAGAAAATAAAATTTTCTACAGTTATAGTAGACATCTAGAAATAGTACCAAAAACAATTTCAGCCTTTCGTAACTTGTTTTGGCTGAATTATTGAATTTTTACTAAAATTACCGAGCCCCAGGGGACCCGAAAATAAAAGATGGCTATAACTTTTGGAGAAAAAAACATGGGGAAAAATCCTTTTAAGTATTTACTATTTCGATATACTCTACCGATCAATGTATGAATCACTGAAATCGGAGGTGGACATCTCGGGATGTTCCCTTGTAAGTATTGAACTTTTATTTATTTAAATAAGTTTTTCTTGTTACACCTACAGTTTAATTATGTGGTAACTATCCATGCTCATATAAAATTTTTCTTATATATCATAAATATTTAACATCATAATTTGAACATGCGTATGCTTTTGTTCTAATTACTCACAGTCGGTTAACATGACAAAGATAGAAAACACTTTTTCCATACCCGAATTTAGGCTAGCTCATAAAAGTATTTTAGTACCGCCATCCTTGAAAAATAATTCTAAAATATCTGAAATAGTATAATAAACTATTTATATTTTCTAAACAAGCTGATAAATGTTTTAAATAAATTTCATGTAGAAATTGTTCAAATTGATGATGTATTATAAACAAGCTAAGAAGTATTAGATATTTTCGTAAAATTCGTAATCTCTACAACCAGTTGTGGTACCACCAACTGATCCCATCGAAAGCTTTACAGTAGCACCGTCGTTAATCCTCTCAATTATTTGTGCATTCAAAGCTTCAAAACTCACATTTCCAAAACCGACCGATGTCGGGAAACTGAATGTAAAATAGAGTGCCGTGACATATTTTGATCTTAAATCTGAGCTACCAATACAGGGATGTCAAACATGTTTGGTTGTTTGATTGTTCTCTTCATTGAACAGTTATAATACACGTACACACACGTCAAATATAATAACAAAATATCAAAAGCAAACGGCTATCAATTATGCTACGTAAGGGACACAAAAAAGACAATAACATCGCGTAGTACGTAATCAATAGTTTGGTACACTTACATCCTACAAGCATAATTATAATGCTAAAACCTTTTTCGCTATTTGTATTCGGACTAAATAAGAAATGTAATACTTTCCTACTGAATATATTCTTTTATTGTAGCTAAAAATTAGTACCTAACATTGCCAAAACCAACCGATGTAAGTGAACTGAATGTAAAATAAAGTGCTGTAATATATTTTGATGTTTTTGTTGGTCCACTAGTTGGATCAGAATCGTTATAGTATTGATGAGTATGGTTAGCAAGTTCGGATAACCAACCGATTAACCGTTCATTTCCTATGAATTTAGATAATACTATTCTGTAGCGAATCCACTCATTCACATGAGACGTTTTAATATCTTTGTATACGTGATGATGATACTTACCATGATGATTTCTTTCAAGTCTCCCGATAGCATACCTGAAAAGACAATTTAAACTCTATTTCTTTTAGTAGTTTTTTAAATGAATGTCCGCTAACCAGATGCACGCAAGCCAATGGGCAATTAAAGCAAATGTTGCTGTTAATAAAATTAGAACACCAACACCATACTCAGAATAACGGTCGAGTTTTCGAGCTATACGAACCAAACGTAATAGACGAGCTGTTTTTAACAAGCCCATTAGTGCGGTACTCTATATGAGAAGAAACAAATGTACACAGATTTTGTCGTCTCTAAAAACTAGAGTACAGAGCAAGTACAACTAGATTTAAGGGAGGAGTCCTCTCGCTAAACATACCCTCAAATTTTGTCAGTTTGTAGAGAACACCTCCAAGGATCTGGGATTGCAATAACTCGCGGGTTAGATAAGCTTTAATGGAGCTATAAAGCTTTCGAAATTACCAAAAGTCGATTTTCCCAGCTGTTTTGCACCTAGTGCAAAAAGTATTTCTTGCGCAACATGCCTCCTCAATGAAACATTCCAAAAGCATTCTGTTATATATATATGTATGATGTAATATATATTCTATATATATTTTCTGTCCAACTGAACAGTGGCCGTGGTCATTTTTTTATTCAATTTTTAACAGAATAAGATGAAGACCTGCGGTTTCCAGTATCTTGTAGCCAGGACCTGACAGCACCTTCCTATTCATAAATCAATTCTACTCATGAGGTCTACCACGGTGTACCTGATCGATGTTCCAAAGATAAAATTGCCACTTCCTAACTTTTCATACAAGTCTAATGTTTGAAACTACGCCTAACATAGAGAGACATCTAGTCTACATATCTGCCAAAACCCGACAGCTCCATCTATGATCGTTCGGGCAGGAGCGAACTTTTCCTGAGACACCTCAGAACACAATTTTCGTGATATTTGGAAAACTAAAAACGCATGGAAACATAGGTTATCGACCACGCTGAATCGAAACAAACAGATTTTTCGAAAAACAAACATCCTCACAAAATTCAGCGTGGTTGATAACTAAAAAATGACCGCGGCCACTGTTCAGTTGGACAGATAATATATATAGAATATATATTACATCATACATATATATATAACATCCCTTGACCCTTTTTATCTCTCAGTCAGTATATTCTTGACATGTATTCATTTCTATATTCAAACTTTCATTGGAAAATAATCATGTATAAGTTTATAACTAAAGTTTTACTGAAAAGGATACTTTTCTGAGTATGGTGAGTTTGAGGTTCAGGCCTCTTGTTGGGCCTATAAATTCAGAATAATGACACCAATCTAAAATCACAATATCTTATCCCATAGAGGCGAGTATAATGAACAACTTTTCATGAACAGAATGCTTTTGAAATGTTTCATTGAGGAGGCATGTTGCGCAAGAAATACTTTTTGCACTAGGTGCAAAACAGCTGGGAAAATCGACTTTTGGTAATTTCGAAAATTTCATAGCTCCACTAAAGCTTATCCAACCCGCGAGTTATTGCAATCCCAGATCTTTCGAGATGTTCTCTACAAACTGACAAAATTTGAAGGTATGTTTAGGGGAGATCCCCCCCTTTAAGTCGATTATTAATCCATTTTCCAAATTCAAAGATTTGTTCAATACGACTTGTAAAATATCAGTCAAAATTCGTTTGAAAAAAAAGCCCATTATAATACTCACTTCTCCTCCACCTTTAGCTTGTATAAATGAAAATAATATATCGAACGGTATTGCCGCTGTCACATCGATTAGAAACCATCGTTTTAAATAGTGTTTAGCGATTTTTGTTCCTCGCGTTACAAGTTCTTCATTATGTTTAACATATGTTGTTCGTAAATTAACGATTAAATCAATAATAAACATAACATCAACAATTAATTCAATAACAGCTAATGCACGGCTCTGTCTCAATTTTATTTTATTTTCACTGATAGTATTACTGTCTTCATGCATTAAAAATGCAGCTGTGTAAGGTGTGACTATTGCGGTATAGATGACTAATAATAATATTAACCAGTCCCAACCGGCTTTGAACGGAGAATAATGGAGTAAAATTGTACGAGGTATACGATGAGTATCAGATAGACGAAAGTCAGGTAGAGGATCTTCGTTCAGTGAAAGAATCTGAGCGATACGACGTGAAATATTAGGTATAAATGATTTTGCTTTGTTCGACATTGTATTCTTCTTGATAACAGTTTCTATAATATGCAAGAAAAAAGGAGAAATGTTAAATAATAACTTTTCTAGAGTGAACGAAAAAATCTAACGGATATAGCAAACCGGCAATTTCGCTTAAACTCTGTGATCTGTTTCTTGATTCTCCGTCCCATATATGAGATCTTAATATATTGTTTGAGCTTGTTGACGACCCTCTATGTGTTTTACGTTGCTGATGATTGTCGTCGAATGTTGTCGATTTCGTACGCGTTGATGATTCATTTGTAATTTTGGCTGCTGTAAAATACAGCCGGCATCGATATATTCTTGAAAGTTTGCTATATTTAAAATGATCACGAACCTAGTTGATTTTCATTTGATCTTTCGTCATCGAAGACACTTTCAAATACAACATCCTCTCCACTGGTTCCATCTCGTGTCGCTGATTTTGCCAGGTTTCTTGAAAACAGATATCGAATTGGATTAATCATACGTAGCCATGGTCGTTTTCTAATACCATCTAAACAAAAATAGTTAGAAATAGTTTTTTGTTTCGAGTTTCTGATAAGTTACACGTACTGGTCTCAGTGATAGTATAATTGCAAATTCGAGCTAAAATTTAGAAGAGAAGTATACGAATAGACAATATGTTTAGGTGCAAATATATCTTAAGTTTAAAAGTATATTATTCCTAATCACCTTGATAAAGACACTTTTTGTTTGAGAATTTAACTTAGTGTCATGTTTTTTTGAGTCTATGCGTGGAAATGTAGCAGGAAAAAAAATCTGCCCACAGTGGGTAACAAAACTATTGGCCCACTTTTATTTTTATTTTTTCTCGTCGAACATAATAGCTAGAAACAAATCTGGAAAAAGATCTGAATAGCTGAAAGAATTTCCAATCTGATATAGTGTATACAAAAATTCAATCGAAGCTTCTTAAACTAGGATCTCTGGAAAACAAAGTTCCCGAAATCGACCCAAACACGTTTTTTTGGAAACAGTTGTATCTGGTAGAATGAACATTTCAGAACAAAATGAGACATCTCCGACCTCTCTACGACATTTCTTCATGACACAGTATTCAATTTACGCAAGGCCCTATATCACTAAAATTAGCAAAACGGGAAAGCACGAATAATATGCCCTCACAGCCTTGAATACTATGTCATGAAGAAATGTCGTAGAGGTTGTAGATGTCTCATTTTGTTCTGAGATGTTCACTCTACCAGATACAACTGTTTCCAAAAAACGTGTTGGGTCGATTTCGAGAACTTTGTTTTCCAGAGATCCTAGTTTAAGAAGCTTCGATTGAATTTTTGTACGTACTACATCAGATTGGAAATTCTTTCAGCTATTCAGATCTTTTTCCAGATTTGTTTCTAGCTATTATGTTCGAAGAGAAAAATTAAAAATAAAGTTGGGCCAATAATTTTTTTACCCACTGTAGTAACAATGAATAAACACACTTTTCTGTTATGTCTTACTATTCAAAGATGATCTATCGTTATTTCTCTAGTATTTATATAGTTGAAACATTACTTTCCAACGCCGAAAACAACTAAACAATAGCCCTAATATGAGAAACGTATATGTGATTATTCGAAATATAAGGAGAAAATAAACCGTATGTTTTCTCCTCTGTTTCAATGTTAGTCGATTTCTTATATGACACAATCTCTTTATTTCGACGGATGTTAAATGACAGAAATAGAAGAACAGTTGTTTCATTTTAAGAGTTCTCATCATTTTATTTTACTTAATTTGAAATTCATTATGAAAAAAAGTTAACGATACAACTTTCATTAATAGTACTTACGAATTTCTCTTGATATTATTTTGTTTTCACTTTCCATAAACTCTAATATAAATAATATAATATCACATGACTCATTCTTAACTGGTGCAATTAAAACATTTGACCAAAATTTGACACCTAAACCAACGAAGAACAACAATTGTCAATCGAAGATGTTCTACTACTAACTATCATAATAAATTCGTGTACCAGTTTTTTTGTATAGAATAATATCGACTTCTTTTTCAACCGATCCTTGAAGTGCGTGACAGATTTGTTTAATACTCTTGTCACATGTTTCTGGTCCGTATAAAAATTCACATGTACACGGTTTTTGTAGTACGTCTGCTCTATTAAAACCCGTTAATTCATAAAATGCATCATTACAATATATTGTTGGTTTGCTTATTAATCGAGCATTCGCAATTAAGAAGCGACGGCCTGAACAAAAACAAAATATATGCGATAGTTCAAATTTCAACCCTTTGATATGCTCAATAAAAAATTCTCTAGTTGATCGATAATTCGATCATATTGTAAGATATGAAATATTTGAATAGGATGTAAGAATTCTCCTACAGTTTAATTTAAATGTATGGCGTATATTATAATTCTTATTTTCGATTGAGAAAAGATCCTGGACACAGTTGTGTAGATATTAATTTTATTTTAGATAAAAGATATTTTTCTACTTTTTTCTCTTTTAGACCAATTGTTATAATAAATAAATTTATTGATAGAAAAAAAGAACACGGTCATGCGAATTAAAGTTTTGATCGCGTGCACTTAATAGCCTGTTTTTAGATCATTATCAACGGTGTAACAATAAAGAAAAAACGATGTCTATTAATTAGTCGTTTTTTCATATTTTAAAACATATTTACAGTTAGCAAGTTGTTCATGTCTTATTTAATGTCAGTTGTATTTGACCTGAGCGATTTCGTGGATTCGAAAAAAACCTCCACATAGTTCAGTTAGTCACATAGTCGAAGGACGATGAGTTAGCTTGTACATTGATGGTGAAAAGAGACAATTCTTTTGTAGCAACTAATATACCTTAAGTTATGTTGGTTGCTGAATACTCTGTCCCTTATTACAAAAAAAAAAACAAGATTTAAAATAACTTTTTTTTTAGAAAATAAAATTTCTCGTCTTGGATTGAAAAAGGAAATGTTTGCTATTTTTCTCATTAAACAAAGAAAAGTTAAACATGATTTTTTTCTATTATTCATTTTCTTGTAAATATTTCAGAAAAAAAAATATCTTTTACACATACATTATTAAACCTTAGATTTATATTGAGAAACTTCAAATAGAATATATGTGCAAAAGTGAATAAAACATATTATATTTAAAATAATTGAAAAGAATTTTAGTATAATTATTTTACATTCAAAGGCGAGCTTTCGACACTATCACAGTGCTATTATCAGGCGAATGACTATTGAAATTTGTTTTAAGCGAGATACCGTGATAGTATCGAAAGCTTACCATTGAATGTAAAATGATTCTACTAAAATTCTTTTCAATTATTTTAAATATAATATGTTTCATTAAAAACGTTAAAAAATCAAAAGATATCAATATGTGACAAAAACAATTTAGACTTTGAAAGATACAAATACTTGCATATTTCTTACATTTTTTTAGAGTGATCGATTTCTTTAACGATAACGATATTTTAGAAACGTTAGTTAAGCGAAAATTTGATTTATTATAACTCATGTGTGCGGTGCATTATTATTAATTATCGTGTTCTTGATTTAGATAGTAATCAATCGACTTTTCACTCTTAATCAAGTATTTTACCGAAATGAGAAAGACTTTCATTTCCATTATCTTCTCGTTTTTCTATCATCGAAATATGGTAGACTTGAGATTTGTGTTTCTACTGTGTACAGTTATTTCTCAGTTTCATCTGTTTTATCAGTGCTTCTGATGTAAAAAACGCTTTTGGCTTGAAACAACTTAGAGATAGAGGAATTGTTGTTGACGGTAGTAATTGGTCTTGGACATTTGGTAGTAACTGGTCTAGGTACAACCATATGGTACACGACTTAACTCTAAAAACAGATGAAACAGAAATAACTGTGCATTACTAATTACTATCCATTTCAAAATATGGTGACCACGGTTGGTTTTTTAATAACTTTTGAAAGAAATGAGCTATGGACGTGCGATTTTTAGATTCTGAAAGTGCATGCCCGAGGGCATAATTCTGTGTTGAAATGCATCAGATCCGACAGGTCTATGATAGTGTACCTTTCGAAGCAAAAAGTCTGAAGTTGCCATTCCAAAATACCACATAGCAAAGTACTGCTTTAAACGCATAGGGTTATAGAGCAGATATTACTCTATAACTGTACATTACTAATTAGTGTGGCATATTCCAAGTCAGTATGTCGATGCATAATTTCGTCACACAAAGAGTGAAACAGTACCCAAAAGAAAGACAAATTTCAAGTTTATCTTATTTCGATGACAGAAAAGAGAAAAGATAATGGAAATGAAAGTCTTTCTCATTGCAGTAAAACACTCGATTAAGAGTGAGAACTCGACTGATTATTATCTAAATCAAGAACATGATAATTGATAATAATGCACCGCATACATAAGCTACAATAAATTAAAATTTTACTTAATCGCACGACCACGTAACTTCACTATCGGAGTTAAATTCAATATGGAAATTTTGGCATTTTATTCTTCTTATTCTTTTTAAAGGAAAGACTATCCAGAAATTGGTGACGTTATATTTGATATAAAAAAGATTTCTCTACAATTCCGCTATCTGTTTCAAAATACAATACAGTTCCATGTTTTTTGAACAACTTTTACATGGTAATAGGTAGAGCCCTTCGGTTTTCAATTTGATAAAGCAGACACTTGGGGACATCGGTCTTTGAAAAAATTAGGCTTCTTGAACAGGTTAACCACGGTGTACCTGTCGCAACAAAGTGTCCGAGCCTGCCGTTCCAAAAACGTACATAGTAAAGTACTACTCTAAACACATGTGGATAGACAGCAAATATTGCACTACAAGCCGGCGTAAGGTGCAAGTCTCCATTTACCGTGGTTCGGCGCTACAAGCAATCTCCGAGGACCTGCTTATCGACTAAATCTGAAGTCCGGATACGACATGGAACATAGGTTGAACACGGGGGATCTTGTGGCAACGTGCGCTTTATTGTTCTGATTAAATCAACCTTAAAAGATGAATTTTTCAGAAAATTTCATTTTTCGCTGTAACCGTACTAAAATAAAAGACCTTCTGGCACTTTCATTGCTTAACCAAATTGGTTCAAGTTTTGAAAACTCACTCAGTTTCGCCTGCTGTACAATTTAGAAATGTCAGAATTATTTCTCATTCTGAGATTTCATTTTAAGATGTTCTGAACGTTTTCTGAGAAGCCTGTCAAAGATCCGCTTTATTTTTTGTGATTCTGCTTGTGAGAGCGGGTAAGACACCTTCTTTTATGCCCACTCTTTAACTTTCATGCAGTTTGGCTGAGCGTACAAGTTGGTTCAAAAGTTGTTCAAAATACATCGGGCTGTCTCATGTTTTGAAACAGATAATAGATATTGCGCAGTTCTGGCGGTTCTTTGCTTAAAAAACTGTAAGATGACCGAAATGTTAAAGTTTCGATATTAAATTTCACTGTAACAGCAGTTATATGTTTTTGATTCCAAAACATTCTAAAACGAAAATATTTTGAGATTTTTGTGCGGTATTTGTTCTGCGTTAAAAAGCTTTGTCATAACGATCCCAAGAAACTATAGTGTATATTCTGACGTTAATAAACAAGTTTTCTTTATAAATTTTATAAAGCATTTGTACTTGTGGCAAACATATCGACAGCAGATATGGTAGATTCTTTCAAATGCAGTTTTTGTCGCAAGAAGTCAGTCGTTAGAGAGCTCCTCTGGTTAATGTATTAAATCAGCCTTTATCCTAGGAAACCGTATTGTTCGATTCTACGTGATAGACTGGATAAATGTTCGTTGTATGCGTCAGCGCCTTCAGTTATCATAGATTGTTTATCTAGCAACTTTATCGTTATAGTATACTGCTTCATTATTTTTCAGAATAATGAAGTCTTGCATAGTAATACTAAATTAAGAGTAATTTTGCTATTTTTGTTATCATTGTGTTTTGAAACCTATAGAAATATTTCTCACTTTTTAAGTACTAGATATTGAATAGATGTGAATTGTTGTACAAACAGTCTTTTCTTTTACTGACAAATTCTTTTCCAGTGCACAACTTGAACGACTACGCGAATATTTACCATTCTATCTGACCTTTCTAAATCTGACTGTCAAAGTGAATTAGTGATAGGTCCGTTTAGCATCATAACCATTGTTTAAAGTTTCTTGAAATATCATAACTTACTCTGACTATCAAATTTTTTAATGATTGTGTCAATAAATGTATTTTGCGGTGCTGATACATGTCCACGTTTCATCGGCATCGTTTGTTCGTGTTTATTATTAAATGCGTTTTTTAGTTAATAAAATAGAAAAAAATAATAAATGTGCTTTCTCTCTTTCTCGCGTTTTCACAGTAATGTCGTATAAGGATTCTATCTGTAAAGACAACGATGTTGAACGTTAGAATATAATAAGTCTTTCTATATTTTCAGTACTATTATCGGTCGTGATGGTAGATGCACAACAATACTTTCGCACTTTGTCCTAAAAATATCAAAATAAAAAAATAAAAGATAAGCACGAAGAAATATAAAAATATTATAATATGAAATAATGAGCAATGTGTTGACTGTGTTTTTCTTGTGTTCGAGCAATATGTTTTTTCTAGCGGGGCATATGAATTAGAAAATACGACGGACAAAACAATAAAGACAACTGATATTGATAGTATAAATGAGAGGAAAAGGAGGAAAGAATATATTTTTCTTTTTTTTTTGTTGCTAAATACATGAGATATACTTCTATTTAAATCGGTCATTGTTATAGGGATATGTTTTTCTAAAAAATTGTAATAATGACGTCAATATACTGATATATTGGCGTCATTATTCATTAATTCCAAGGTTGTTTGAATATTCGAAAAAATAGAGGGCTAGAAGACGGTAAAAAGTGTGTCCCGAAATGTTTTTAGTATGAAAAGGTTATACTCAGTCTTTCACTCGCTTTACTTTTCTACGGAATTGATGATCCTTTAGAATGGAAGTAACTTTGATTAGTACGGTGATGAGTGACCGTATCTGAAGCCCAAGGGTATAAGATGTATGGATTGAGCAGTACGGGTAGAATACACTATAACAGTGTACAGGGTGAGTATTAGAGATCTCCGATTATGAGACTCTTATTTGACGTATTTAATTTATGACGAAAACGAAAAATACTACAATAATCATAATAATAATCCTTTCTCGCTGTATATATGTCAGCGTCCAAACTCCGATCCAGGCCTAGGCCAAATTCGAATCGGAGTTTGAACTAGTCTAAACTCCGACCGTAGTTTGGACTACTGGAATTACAGGTCAAACTCCGATTGGAATTTGGCCTAGGCCTGGATCGGAGTTTGGACGCTGACATATATGTAACAATAATAGAGGTACGAATGTAAAACTACGTGATGTAGTGATACAATAAAATGGTACGATTAATTGGTGTGATGAAGAAAGAATGTATGACCAAGAGAAAGATAAGAGAATGACTATCGTATCTTACATGTGGAAGGCCTAGCCTGTAACGGTGAGGAATTGAACACCTCAAGTTTACAACAGTGAATTTATCCACAATATTTATTTCTGAAAACAAATACAGAAGCCTTGTGAAAAGCGAGTTTTAGAAAAGCTAAGACTTAGTACTTAAAAATTAACTATTCACTCAAAAACGAGTTAAAAATTCTCAGTATGTACAGTTTTGGGGGTGCTGCATATGATATTAATAAAAAAACTTTAGAAAAGAAATCAAGAGCTCTATCTTTTTTAGAAAGGACTTCTAGAAAATTTGTCCACGATCCCACGCTTTCGCAATTTTTCCATGGTACGAACACCTTTAGCAAACATAATTAACCATAGTCTCAAATTTTTAACTCTTTCTGGCGTGTTTTTGGGTGAATAGTTAATTTTTAAGTACGAGGTCTTAGCTTTTCTAAAACTCGCTTTTCACAGGGCTTCTGTATTTATTTTCAGAAACAAATATTGTGGAAAAATTCACTGTTATCGATTACCTATGTTCCACGCGATCCTAGGGCTATATATAGTCAGTGAGTACGAGTGCTAGGACTCCAAGGAAATCCGATATCGGTTAAATACAGAGTCATAGCTACTATCTACAGAAAAATCTAGTATTAAAGTCACAAGGACCACTATCAAGCTTCGTAAAGTTTCCTATTAACGCATATTGTAGAGCTTTTCAAGACGTACCGAGTGATGTATTACGCTCGGCTAAATTATGGATGGTTACGGAGAAATTTTGATTTTACAGTTATACTTATGATGCTAAGGGGTTGTTTATTTTCGAGTAGATTTTGCCGAATATGTTCGACCAGAAGCGCTCAGAAGGGTTGAAATCATCAAATATGATAATTCTGATGAGTTTTGTCCAGACTGGAGCGGAGCGATAAAAATGGGTGAACCGTTTTCAAGTTTTATGCAAACTTCTCCTTTATACATTTCATTTTAAGTACAAAAGAACTTTGTTTTGATTAGGCATGCACTAGTTATAACCGATAAACTTCGCCTTTTTTCTGCAACGGATTGCATGAAAACTACGTATATTAAAATTTTTCTAACAGCTGGATTTTGTAGAGCAAACACTTTTCTACAAGGTGAACTATGGCGGAAGCTTGCGTGTTTTTATAATCGTCTGTTGAGGAAGAGCCCTAAATCGGTTATAACCGATCAAGGAACTTTTAAATCTTTTTCTTATAAGTACTGGATCAAGAGGAAGAATATTCTTATAACTCATCTCATAGAAAAATATTTGTTGTACAAAACCCAGTTGTTAGAAAAATTTTAGAGAACCAATTTTCGTTGAAAAAAACTTTTTGCCAAAAATTACACAATTTCTATCTGCTATAACCGATGCAGGCCTAGCTTTGATAGTAGAGCACTTTCAGGTATACGGATCATACTCAAGTATAATTTCTACATTGTGAATAAATATAAAAAATATTAGAGTAGTGGGAGGAGAATGTAGTGATGATTAGGCCTGTGACAGTTCATAGTTCATAGTTCCTTGTACTGCAGTTTCTCGATAACGGGAACTGTTTTTCAGTTCGCATTCAATGAACAGGAACGGTTTTACAGTTGCCGTTCTGAACTAGCAACGGTTCAGCAGTTCACGTTTCTAGAAACGAGGAACTGTTCACTAGTTCCAGTTCCTGCAAACGGGAACTACAGTTCTTTTTTAACTGGAAACTGCTCAGTGTCCTCTAGTGATTTGTTGACGTATTATGTATTTCATTTTGCAAACATAAAATTTTGAAAGAGTGAGTACTGAAAAGAGATATGCTCAAAGAGACTCCCCGGTTAGGTGGTAGACTTTGCTGATTGAATTTAGTTCGTTACTTCTTAAGATCTTGAGCAACCGGCTAGCAATACCAGCCACAAGTGTAGCTAGTGAAAGTACATTTTCGCATGCTAATGACTTTACAAGGAAAAATCGACTATCACCAAGTCCAGTAACAACGAGAATGTCTATGTTTTTGAAAGACAAAGTATGAATGTTGGTAGTTTTTACTATTCTGATTGTTAGTATCTCTGTGAAAGTTTCTTCAGAAACAAGCACGTAAAGAAACGATATCAGATAAACCGTCGTATTCATATTGAACCGTAAAATGCACTAACATGCTAAAGAAGATAGAACGCTAGTAAATTAGAAAAAGAAGCTCAAGTATATCATACAGTTTCCAGTTAAAAAAGAACTGTAGTTCCCGTTCGAACTGGTGAACCGTTCCTCGTTTCTAGAAACATGAACTGCTGAAACCGTTTCTAGTTCAAAACGGAAATTGAAAAACCGTTCCCGTTCATTGAACGCAAACTGAAAAACAATTCCCGTTCTTTGAACGGGAATCGCGAACTGTCACAGATCTAGTGGTGACGGTATCCCTTCCCCCTAGTAAACGTCCTATAAGTTTTCTAGCAGGATCTGAGACATATCCTACCAGTATCCTACTACAATTTCGCATTAATTTCTTAGGATCCTAAAAAAGTTCTACAGAATCCTAATGAAATCAGGTATATCTAAAAGTCATAGGATTTTCGAAGATTCTGTTAGGATCCTAAACAAACTTAAGCAAAATCCTGGTAGGATCTTGGTATTTTAGATCCTGCTAGGAGTTATTAGGTGGATCCTAAATGTTAGAATACTGTAAGATCCTAGTAGATAATAGACACGAAGTGCGTAGGAGTTTGTCTAAAGTCGTTGGAGAAACAGTTGATAGCTGATCCGAGAAACGTCACCGATGGCTTAACATCATTAGTAGATTTCAAAACAAAAATGAGCCAATGAAGGCCTGCTCTTTTTTTGGTTGATACAGACATACACTAATAGACAAAAATACTTGTGTATCCACCATTTAAAATTGCTTTGAACTATTTCAATCTCACGGCAAAACTTGTAGTTTTAATCGTACAACATTTATTTTATTCAGTTTTTCATATTTTTTTTTATGGTACGATCGAAAAATTTTCATATCTCAGAGATAATCATCTCTGATATGATGAATATTTAGTACAATGTGACATCATAAATGTTTTATGATCGCTACAAGTAAATGTTTTTTTTCTCAGAATATTGCTGAAGAGTTCACGATCTATCACTGAACATCCTGTTCTGTTGCTCACAAACAAAAGAAGCTGAATTTGTTTTATCCACAAAAAAGTTACGTTTTCATTACTTCAAGTCCACAATGAAGGCCTTTTGAAATTTTAAGCTACTTTTTTTACTTTGACATATTAGGGACATTAAGCTATGCTATGTTTTAATAAAAATTCGATCTGAAAAAAACGAAGCAATTAATAAACTAGAGCAAAAAATAATTTTAATCTTTTTTAACATTTTAAACCAGTTTAATTAAATAATATTAACTTACCGTTGTAGAAAAGGTTCGACTGTGGATGTTGTTTGGTAGTACAAATCACCAAAAAATATGCATTATAAAGAGTAAAGACATTTACATTGAACTATTTTAATTTACGTAACAAAAATTTAATATAAAATTAATGTCATTTTTTCGTTCACAAATGTAAATTTTGCCGGAAATATTTCCTGGATCACGCAAAATATCAAATGACTCTTTTGTTTTCATTGTATCATGTAAATTAAAAATGATTCCCATGATAAAACTCCCAGTTGGTGATGTGTTTGTTTATTTCGTTAATTCCATTAGAAGATAAGACGCGTACAAGAAAATTTAATAAAATTAGAAATTTTTGTTGTGTGATAATAACTAATTCGTTTGTAATCATAAATGAAAAAAGTAACATGGAAAGTG